GCTTTCGAAAAGTAGTATTTTCTTTCTTTTTTTTTTTTAAAGATTTATTTATATATACCCACAAGAACTGGGGTATAGGCCAGAGGTGGGGAGGCAGTTTGAAAATACTCACCAGGGATAGAGTGGGGAGAACAGGTGGATCTACTGAAATATACTGCTGAGGGGAGCAGTGAGCAAGACAGGAGAAGTCTGGTGTGCCATGTGTTTCAGCTTCCTGGTGAAAGAGTGAACCCATGGTGTAGTGGCTGGCTCTAATTTGATAGCATTGTGCTTTAATCCCGGTGCCACCAGGAAGGCCCAAAAATAGTATTTTCTTTCGGGGACAAACTGTGAGTTCATGTAAGCTGGACATTCATGGGCAACTGTGGCCTTTTTTCTATCTCTAAATCGCAGCAGAGTATTCCTTGACTACCTACAGATAACAGCTCATATCATTAGGCAGGCCCGGGGAAGCTTAGGCCACCATGAACCTGATTATGTGACGAACGCCTTAGTGGCCTCCGGATAACTCTGCCTGTTATAACATCAGCACACATACTTTACTGAAACAAATATTTCTTGACATATGGTCACGATGCCTTCTATCTGTTCATAAAGCTTTTTCCTCCTTAGCACCTGGACCTTGGACCTCAGGCCATTGTCAAATGATCAGCCTTTACTAGCCTGTATGTTTTCAATCAGTGGCTCAAGACCTTCTCTCAAGTAGCAGAATCTTGCCTTACAAACATGGTCTCCAGCGGTTGTGCCCTTCACTGCCTTCCCACCACAAAGTGGCAACAAAATCCTTGTTGTAACAACTATAAAACAGAGGAACAAAAGCTCATCCTCCCTGTGATCATGAGAATATAAAAAGTTCAATAATAGGGCCCTCCCTGGTGGCGCAGTGGGTTAAAGCACAGCACGAAGAAGCCAAAGCCACTTCGATCCCCACCCCTGGAGGTGACCCACATGGTGCAGCAGACCTCTCCTGGCCTGCCTGCTGCTCCCCACAGCAGTGTACTTCATCGATCTGCCTGTTCTGCTCCCCACTCTGTCTCTGGTGAATCCTCTCACCACCCCTGCACCACTGGCCTTTACCCCAGTTCTGTATACATAAATAAATAAACTTTAAAAAAATGTTCAATAATAGATATTTTCATTCTGTTAACCTTAAAATATAAATATTATATTCACACATGTATAGTGCATACATATTTATGTAAATATTTGAATATTATAAATACACACATCGTTTCTCCCAGGATTTTTTAACTGTTAATTGCCCCTGGTTTATATTCTTTTTCATTTTTTTATTTTTTGAGGTCTTAATAGATATTTTATTTTTAGAAGGGGAGTGGTTGCAACAGCTAGACATATACTATTTTAACTTTAATGTTTTTAATTTACATCTTTATTAGTATTTTGAAAATATAGTATTTCTCCCCTCAGGTGTAGTTACCATAGTAACTATGGTACTACTTTCCTTTGGTAAACTATGGTACTTTACTTTCCACCAGAAACTTTTTGCTATGTTTATTTTGTAAAAATACTATCAATACTTTGTAAAATCTGGGTATTTAATTCTTAAAATATTCCAGATAGAAATAGTTTTCAGATAACCTGTGAGTCATGGAAAAATAAATGAGGCTATGAATTAAGCTACTAATTCCTCTATAAGCAAGAAACTTATTCCTAAAATTTATGTTCAATACAATAGCTATTTTTCTTTAATTAATAAAGAAAATATTCCTTTCTCAATGAAAGTTTTTGGATCTGCTGAGATGAAGGTAGGGAAAGCATGGGAGAAATAAAAATGAATACATTGGCTAGACAGGAATATGACCTAACCCCACCAAGATGCAAAAAGTAAGCATGTAAAATTAAACTATTTAATCTTTTATTTTTTGGAACTATTTCCTATTCCCATATGTTAATGCATTTAACTGCCTTAAAATAAAATTAACTTATAACTTATTATCCATTGTCAATAGTTGCTAGCATTTTATATTCTCATGCATCAAAACACTATAAACTAAAGTTTGTTTCATCAGACATCCATGGCCTTTCAATATAGCATTTACTTATTAAATATATATATACTCAAGTGGTCATAACTAGCCAGAGTTTCTTACTTTCATTAAACAGTTTCACCAGTTTTAGAATATACTTTCAGTAGTTTTTTTTTTTAAGATTTATTTATTGGCCCTCCCTGGTGGCGCAGCGGGTTAAAGCACCGCATTGAGAATCTAAAGCCGCTTCTGCATGAGTTCGATTCCCGCCTGCCCCGGAGGTGACCACATGGTGTGGCAGACCTCTCCTGACCCGCCCACTGCTCCCCTCAGCAGTGTACTTCATCCATCTACCTGTTCTGTTCCCGCTCTGTCTCTGGTGAAGCCTCTCACCGCCCCTGAGCCTCTGGCCTATACCCTGGTTCTGTATGCACAAATAAATAAATCTTTAAAAAAAAAAAAAAAAGATTTATTTATTTATTCATACAGAACTGGGGTACAGGCCAGAGATGCGGAGGGTGAGAGGATTCACCAGGGACAGAGCAGGGAGCAGAACAGGCAGATGGACGCAGTACACTGCTGAGAGGAGCAGCGGCGGGGACCAGGAGAGGTCTGCCAAGCCATGTGGATCTCCTCCGGGGCAGGCGGGGATCGAACTCATGCGGAAGTGGCTTTAGCTTTAGTGCAGTGTTTTTTTTGTTTTTTTTTTTAAAGATTTATTTATTTGTACATACAGAACTGGGGTACAGGCCAGAGGCTCAGGGGTGGTGAGAGGCTTCACCAGAGACAGAGTGGGGAGCAGAACAGGTAGATCAACGAAGTACACTGCTGAGGGGAGCAGAGGGCGGGCCACGAGAGGTCTGCCACCGGGACAGGCGGGAATTGAACTCATGCGGAAGTGGCTTTTTAGCTTCTCAGTGCAGTGCTTTAACCCACTGCGCCACCAGGGAGGACCACTTAGTGCAGTGTTTTAATCTGCTGTGCCACCAGGGAGGGCCAGGTTTTGTTTTTTAACTTTATTTTTTGTTTCTTACATCATTTAGTTCCCAGAGTCCTCCCACCATCCATCACCTGTGAACCATCACCATAGTCCTTTGTGTTCATCTTCTCTTTTTCCACCCCTTTCTTCCCTCTCCCTTGCCATATGCCTTAGATCTATGGTTAGCTTACTAGCTTGTCTTTTTTCTTGACCTTTTGTTTGATTTCTCTGTATTCCACATATAAGTGAAACCACCCAATAGTTATCTTTTTTCTTCTGACTTTTTTTGGCTAGCAGAATTCCTTCCAGATCCCTTCATAGTTTCATAAAATTTTTAAAATATCCTTCATCAAAAGCAGATCCTCAAATTCAAGGCCAACTAGATAGACCACAAAAAAAATGCTCTAAACAGATTTATACCACTAGAGATTTTAACTAACTAGCCTATGATCACGTAATGTCCTACACTTTCTGCATTTATGCCTTGTGTATTATGTAACATCTTACCTCAACACTTACTAAAATGATTGTATAATCCTTGTTCTATTGGGATAAAGAAAATAAGAAATTCCTCTAAAACTATACATTCTAGATCTTACACGTCATTCTTTAGACAGATTCTAATGTTGTTTTCAGCAAATGTTATCCATAAAACCACTGGAGAGTCTGCTAAAATGCATATTCCCAGGCCATTCACCAAATCTGTGGAGTCAGATTTGGTACTAAGTGACTGAAAATTTAATGCGGGGAAAGAAGGAAGGATCTGATTTCATTTTGCAATCCCATTCTGAGGGTACTGCATATAAAGAACCAAAATCAAATTTCAGAAGTCCATTAGCATCTACTCTATCTGAAGCAGTTTGATAAATAGTTCCCAAATACTAGTAACTCAAGTCACTACTTGTATCGACTTAAACTAGCCAGGTGGTTCCCATGTGGTAGGGTACTGAGCCATTTGCAAAAGCAATGTTTCCCCAGCAGCCTCTCCAGCTCAATGAAATACAGGCACACAATGGACTGCCCAACATATCTCAACCACCTGTGAGAAAACTAGACTCAGATGTCACCATTCTGGTAAATCTCATGAGAGTTTCACATTCCTGCCATAAATAAGCTTCTAAGAGCTATCTTGAAACTCAAATGTTATTCTTTTTGATAACCTCGTTATCTGAAGGTGTTACTTCAGGCATATTATAAAGTTGTTTCTAATACTATAACCAACCAAAACCAATTCTGATGCAATCAGTCTTCTACATTCAAGGGTTTGAAATGAAATGCTGCTGAGACAGCAACCAAAACTTTCAGCTTAACAGTGAAAAGCTGCCAAAGGTAATTTGTTCATTATTTTAAGCCTCTAAGCTGGTCTACAGACATTTAGAAGTCCAATGATTCTGCTGAAAGAGATTCTCTGAAATGGCTTCTGATCTTCATTTGGTAGTCCCAAATAATAAACATACATATCCCATGGTCATTAAACAACACTGTTGATTCATCTGCTTTAGTTCTATGAATATTTAGTCTATGCAGCCATAATTCAAGATGAGCATTCCACTGGTTCATTTTCAATAAATATTCTTGTACATATATGTGTGTGAGATAATTAGGAAAAAACAACTCTGCTAAGTTCCAGAGGAACATCTTAAAACTTAATTAAGGCAACCGAAGTATATTAGCTATACATGTAAATAATACTCAAATTAGAAAGTAATTTTCAAACTGATTGCTACATCAATTAGAATGTTGTTTATATCCACATGGTAAAATGGAGCATTTTAAACAATTGAATTATCCCTAGACAATTTCTATGCATAGTCTCTTTAAAAGTCTTCAACTACTAGGATTAGTCTTTATTAATGTCCCCTACTTGTCAGTGATGGTTGGTCTTCATATTTCATCAGCTTAAGACCACTCAAGATCGTCAAACATTATATCATCACAAACTGCTACTGTTTGGGTAGATACTGTCACCATCAGACAACCAATGGAAGGGAACAGAGATCAAAAGAAGATAGAAAACACCCAAATTACAGTACCTTGCACTGTGAGGAACACAGAAGCAGTTGCTGATCCTCCTTCACTGGAAACCACACAGTGATACTCTCCACCATCAGTAAATTTCACACTCCTTAGCTCCAATGAGAGGTTTGCCAAGATCCTCATTCTTGCTGGATCTGCCAGTCTGGCTTCTCTGTCACTTCTGTGCCAGGTTAGATTGTAATCCACCTCACTGATGACAAAACATGTCAAAACTGCTCTTTCTCCAGGAGCGACTGTAACATTATTAGGCACTTGGACGACTGGAGGAGGCTCTGTGTGAAAGGAAAAGACTCAAGTCAAGAGACACACTTAGTGATGAGGTTCAAAATTTAATGAGCATGTACTGGATATCTAGTAGGAAAGGTACAGTACAACAGAACTCATTCATTAATACCTATGTCTTTGACCTCAAGAGAAATTTATCATCTAATTAAAAGATGCTTAAAAAGCAGGACGTATTTACATACCAACGTATATTCAAGTCCAAATCTATAAATTATCAGTGTGAGAATCAAAGAAGCATGACCAAAAGATTTAGGGTTGTGGAATGAAGAAAATTTTGATTTGAGTTTTGAAGAATTTTTTTTTAATTCAAAATACACCTTTAATCTTTTATAGAAAAGGCACATATAACAATACCAACTTTAAGGGCAGTTACAATCTCATTAAGAAAACACAATACAACACAAAAATATGCGTTATCTCCCAATAGGGATAGAGTGCTTTGACTTAAGAAGATGAAGTCAACAATAGGGAAAGACCTTAAATAAAAAGAAAGCTACCTATAAAAAAGTCATTGAGTAATGCATGCACATTTCATGGTCAAAAGTCACTTTCCAATTGAATATTTACCCATCACCCTAGAGAGAATTACTACACTTCTAGTTAGTTTTGAGGATAAATCTATGTGCTCCTCTAAGGTCCATTCTACTCAAATGCTCTAAAATGATTTTCATTGAGCAATTAACATGGTAATAAAAACTTTGGTGAGCTTGGTTACCAGGAAACCCTTGAATCTGCTTTAGTTTACATATGAAAAAGTATTTCAAGATTAAATTTTTTCGTTAGTTAATCAGTTAATTAATTAGCTAATTAATTAATTAGTTAACAGAAGAATGTCATAAGCTTAGATCCAATATGGCAATACCTGAAGAGAAATGCGTGTATTTTTCATATTTTACTTTATATTTATCCCTGCTTTCTAAACATTTTGGAGTACATGCTACTTTAAATTATAGAAAGCAGACAGAATTCTTATCATTCAACTATATTTCTAAAAATTTGAAAAATATGAAAATAGCTGGTGCATCAAGTGAAAAGAGTACATGACAAAGTCAAGTAGCTCTGATTTGGGTTTGACTATTTGACAGACTGAACTGCAAATGCTTTGTTAAATTTGAATGTTTGATAACCACTGGACAATATTTCAGAATGTCTCGTGAAACATTTGAACACACTCATGTGAGATTCAAATTTAACTAGACATCCTAAGTTTCTATTTGCTGATCTGGTCTACTTCGCAGTTGCTCTTCTTCTACCCTTACCTAGCTGTGTGAGTTTATTTAAGGCCAAGGTATTCACAGTGTTTGCTTCCCTAGCTGAAAAAAACAAGATTAAATCAGGTGATCCTAAAGTTGCCTTCCATGCTAAGGATTTATGCTTCTATGATATAAGTAGTGTAGACCAACAAAACCCAAAAATAATCCTGCGTGTGTGTTCACAATCTATCAAATCTTCCTGAAGAAAACAAATATTTTATATAGTTTCGCTTTTTAGTTCTCTTGAAACAAACTTCTTCAATTAGAATAGAGAATTTATTTTGGAGGAAAGGTAGAAAACCCGATCTTATTTTTAAAATATTTTTTAGAGCTAATATTGTTTTACACTGCTGTTTCCATAACAGAACAGGATCCACTGCTTCAGGTATTGCTGCCATAGTGCACCCATCATCATAAATCCATAGCTTACTATCGTAGACTCTTGTAGCTACCATCCTAGGCTAGAGATTTTGGATAATTTTTAGAGATTATAAAATGCCATATGATGGACATGTAGGCAACGCTGAGGGAACACTAAAACTCCCCTTAGGTACCAAGGCACACATTCCCTAGTGGCTCTCTTTGTCAGCTGTTGCAAGCTGACAGCCAAGAGACTAACACATTCAGGGTTAAGCCTTTTTTTAGTGCAATGCAGTAAATCACTTAATCAGCCAGTTTTTCCTCAATTTATAGCCATCCAGTTTCAGAGCACCTGGTGAGATCAACTGAGATCTCTGTAGTGACTTCATCCCAATTTAACAACTTCTACTTCCCTATTCCCTTATAAGAGCTTTTACCCTAGAAAATTCCCTAATAGCCTTCTTGCATATAAACTCTGCCTGAGAGTCCATTCCCTTTCAAACATAAATTTAAATAAGTAAAATGCCAACTTTTTAATAACAAACAGGCACAGATGAAATTTGAAACAAGGACATACAATACCATCACTGCATAAATACCTAGAGATAATAAATATTATACACACTGAAATATTTATGCATGCATAGCTAAATTTGGTGGGGCTGAGAGAGAGATGATGAAAGAGAATTATGGAAGTTAAAGAAGGAGGCCAAGATTAGAGGAGGCCAAGATTACACATTACCATAGCCTGGTTTTAGGAATATAAGAGGCATTCCTAAGTGCAGTATGCCTGAGGTGAGAATTAAAGGATGAGAAATGGCACTGCAAAAACTGAGACCTGAAGCATAACAAATGTAGAGACCTAATGACCCAAGAGATCACATACATAAAGATCACTGGACTGTCTGGGAATCTGCTTTTGATCACTGAACCGTCTGATAAAAATGGGCCATTTGCCTGCTTTGGGTTTCAGATTAAATAGCTGTAAAATGATCAGGTAGTGCAAGATTATTTCCAAGTCACATATTGTTCTAAAATAAAGTTACAAATATAATTTAAGATTGTCTGTCATTGACATATCCTTGAAAGCTTTTCTTTCTCTACTCAGTGTTTTACTTCAACTATGAATTTTAGTAGTATGTGTGTGTGCGTGCATTCATGAATGAATATGTTTGGGGTAGGGTCACTGTACTCAGAAAGAATGCCAGTAGAGAAAAATTAACATAACTTTGTAAATGTACTAAACTATCAAATATCTTTTGAAAAGAATTCTTTCCTGCTTCTGCAATTTTATTCATTCGTTTTTATGTGTTTATATGCAATAAAAGATATGTTTTACTCCATTTTTCATTAAAACAATCAATAATCAACATTTCCAATGAGTCCAAAATCCTAAAATATGTCAACTAAAAGAAAATGCTGGAAAAACTTGGAGTTACATATTAACAGAATTTGAGCTTTTCTTTAAGCTTGTTTGTGTGCCCTACTGCTTGACAAAATAACATCCACGGTGACATCAGCACATCACTATCCTATAATGTCTCATTTCTTTACACTGCTGTACAAATACAAGTTCTAACTCTATGTTTATATATAGTTGAGCCAGTGTGGAAGTTAGTAGTTCCAGCAGTGGGGCCTCTGGCCAGACTAAGAGGTTAAGGGGTCTCTAGAAATTGGTAGAATTTTGATGCTGGAAGGGAAAGTAACAGTTAACCTGTAAAGAAATATCCTCTAGTTCAAGTCCAAAAGGGTATTTGCTGACTTGTGACTTGTGCTCTTATAACCACTGACATAACCATCAGTGTCTCTGTCCCCTTTTTTCATAATTGACAATGTGGAATACAATTCCTGAAAACTGGCATGGGCACAGTGAGACCACTGTTTGACTGGCACAGAGTAATCCTAACAGAACATGTGTAGGATGTTGATATGAATGCTGCAAAATAAGTCAAATTCTTAAAGTCAGTTTGAATGTTCTTATTGCCACTTCCCAGTTATTTACCAGGTATTAAAATCAACTCACTCAAACCTCTTTCCCTTTTGTCTTCCACTTAATTAATATTGCTGAAAAAAAAAAAGCCTCAGTGCTCTCAAGTGTTTGTTTTCTCAGAAGCTGAGGAATGTTGACACTATTCCAGTGCTTTTTATAATTACAGGAGATGAAGAAAATGAATAGTTTATGAGGCATGTCAAGTTACTAAATTGTTTCAGAAGACAAACTTTATTTTTCTAAGAATAAGCAAATACAAATAATTTACTGCAAGAATATGTTTGCATGCCTCTGTTTCATAGTTCAACTTGTACATACTGATAAAAAACATAATTCTTGGCTTTTGATTACCACAGTTGTACAGTTATAAACCTTCTTTTGTCTTAAATTATCTGAAGAAAATGCACATCACTACTGAATGCAGGTACAGACATTGCTATAAATTCAACAGCCACATTTAGATCAGAATGTGTTAAACACTCAGCTACACAGGTCTGTAAGATAATGCTGGGCATTTAGGATAGATCACCAAAGAATGGATAACTTTGAGCGCTTAACTGGAAACTGTTTTTGAAAAATATTCCCTCTGTTCTCTTTATTGTACACTAATTGCAATAAAGTCATTTTCTATTAAGGTCTTATACAGTTAAAAAAAAAAAGAAGAAGAAGAAAAGAAAGAACTAAGTCAAAACCCAGTTTCCAATAAATTCTAGATAAAAATTGAATGACTCAAATCCTGATCACTTACAATTATGCTATGCTAGTATTTTTTATTTAATTTCATAATTATTAGAGATTAGAAGGAAAAATTATTTTCCCACTAAAATGTTTCCAATTAATATTTACTATTACATGCATTAGATTGCCGACCAAGGAGTGACCCACATGGCGCAGCAGACCTCTCCTGACCTGCCCGCTGCTCCTCTCAGCAGAGTATTTCAATCCATCTGTTCTGTTCCCCACTCTGTCTCTAATGAATCCTTTCACCTCCAGCCCCTCTGGCCTGTATCCCAATTATCATATGCATAAATAAATAATTTCATTTATTTTTATGTATTATTATTTTTTAATATACCTTTAAAAAAATAAAAAGAATTGGCCTAAGGATGGTCAAACTGCTCAAATGTAATGAAGCCAAGATTAGTAAGCAGCCTACTTCTTTCATAGCTACATAAATTTTCATAGGTACATAAATTCCCAAGCAATTGCAAGTGATAATTACCTGACACATCAAAAAATGTCTGTGCCCGGCCAGTGCCTGCACTGCTGACAGCCACGCACTCATAGAGGCCTTCATCCAACAGTGTGACCTTTTCGATGTCCCAGCTCGCACTGCCAGATTCTCTGGAGGAAGGAAAGACAAGCGCTTTCAGATACTGTAAGTTCAAGACCAATATAAAAGCAGTGATCCCACAGCTTTTCTGGAAGCATTCATGAAAAAAATGTAAAAAAAAAAAAAAAAAAAAAGTTGATCACCTCAGAGTTCTTTATAGCTTGAAATTACACAGTAGTTTTTTTTTTTAACATTAGAAAATCAAGACTCTCTTGTCAAAGTGAAAAACACACACACACACACAAAAAATAACCACTGCTATGCAGATTTTAAATTTTTCAAGAGACATTTTTGGGTTATGTCAAAATATAAGATAAACAGCTGGCAGAGAAACATTATTAAATCCTCTCTCCTTCTCTATCATTTCCAGTTTTGGGGAATGTCAAGTAAGGTTTTTAACCTGGTTTCTAACCAGCTAATTCACAAATCTGATAGAATAAAATAAATTATTTTTATCCCAAAAAGATAAATTCTTTTTCACATTCTAATATATAAGGCCTGCACGAAAGCTACCTGCCCTATTTACCATAGCTGCTTTTGTGTGTCAGTATTTTCCTTTAAAAAATGTTTTATTTCATTGGTAATATTGGTTTACATCATTGTGTTATATTCGGTAATCACTTACATAAAAAACTTTGCTATATTATATAATTGTTCATTTAATAAGTATTTCTACTTTGTTCTTTAACAGCTTTCAAATTGTTCCTCATTTTCTGGAAATGTTTTAACAATACATATTTAAGTTAACATTCAATCATTTAATTTAACATTTAAATATTCTACTAATTTGCAAAACAGGTATTATTTTGTAAAAATATGAAATGTCATAAATATTTTCATTTTCTTTTGTCAACCTTCTGTGGCTATTTACAACCTTTTAAATATTCAAGATGCAGAATGAATGAAAAGGATATTGTGAAGCCAAGACACTGTCCACTGAGTCTAAAGGTGGTGGCAGATATAATACCTCACATTAATAATTCCAAACCTCCCTCAATGAGGACAAACCATACCCATCATCAAACCACTAAAGGAATTAAGGAGTACTTCATATATATATATATGTATGTGTGTGTGTGTATTGTGTGTGTGTATATATACATATACACACATACATATGTGTATATATACATATGTATGTGTCTGTGTGTATATATATATATTATACATATAATATATATATACATATATAGCACTAACTTAGAACTTATGAAAGTCACCCAAAATATATATCTGCCATAGAAAACAAACTATGCAAGGTCATTATTCAGATATTTAAATAATAAACATTTACTTCAATTACTATTGCTTCTCAGTTGTATGTCCACAAGTGCCAGTGGTCATTATTGTTACATTCAGAAGAAAGAGAAATAAAACTTGACTCTATGCTACAATGGTCACCCACACTGTATCCTGAATGTTTAGAGGCAGTATGCAAAGTACAGAGTATAAACTGAGTGTCTAGTAAGTACCCATAAGTTTCAGGAAGGAAAAAAAATCAAATACACATCTTTCATGTCCTCTGTAATGCCAACTTTAGAGCTAAACATACATTAAGATTCATCAAAATGTACACGTTTTAAAACAGAAAGCAGTAATTTGTCTAGTCCTCTGTCCCTCGTTTCTTTTTTTTTTTAAAGAATATTGAGGTTCAGAGAGGACACTTAATTGTTTTTTAAGTTACAGAACTAATTGATAGATTGCTTGAAGAAAATTCTTTACAGATATACTCTCTTGTTTATGCTATAGTGTATGAAAATAATCTCTTTTTTTTTTTTCATGTTGCCGTCTCAGTTGACAATAAGACTATAATGTGGTTACAATAAAAAGTTTTGACAGGATGGTTTCAGGAATAGGACAAAGTACATGTCAAGTAAAAATACATCGAAATGCTTATATCCCCTGGTGAATCAGACACAAAGATTAAATCCCATGTCTCAAATTTAAATAATCTAGGGAAGAAGCCTGAAAGTGAATCAGGATTGAAGTATCTATCACCAACCATCCCTAATTTTGTCATCAGCTTTTCATATCCAAAGAACTTAATATATGTCAACAGGTTTCATATTCTTCTAGTATTAACCAGTACAGCTGATTTCTCATCAGTCAGTCTTGGTACAAACCAAGGAAGAATAATAAGCCTTCTATTATCATTCCTAACTAATACACTACTAGCATCATTGCTTATTATGATCACATTTTGATTACCACATCTCTGGGTCACAGAGCTGGAAGAATGAGAGAAAGAATGCTTGTGGTTTACCTCCCAGGACCTGTGTGGAATTAATGAATTAATATTTATAAAGAATCTCAAGTGTTTTGAAAAATGTTACCACTTATACATAAAGAAGAATTAGTTGATTTCATCAATCAGTTATGTGGCAGCTATTAAACATGAAGCTGAACAAGTCATGAAAATATATTAACTTTTTAAAAATGTAGCAGGAAATAATGCAATTCAATCTTGAAACAAAGGAAAACTTTCTGAAATTATAATTACCATTCCAGCCATAGTTTTGTTTAAAGTGACCCTCATAAAGAGATCATATAAGCTAAAACTGTGAAATATTTAACATGTTAAACAAGTTATTTATATCAATATTGAACTAATAGCATAAAAATTTTGTAAAAAATTCCTCGGGTCGTCCCCCAAATGTAGTTTGTTTTATAATAAGCTAAAAATTATTTTCCAGATATTATCCTAGTTTTGGAAGTGTACTTAATATATCAGTAGGTTACTAAAAATTGACCCATCTTCAAAAAGGAAGACCCACCTCCAGCCCACTCCAGCTGACTGCTATACATAATAGCCACCCAGGATTTTGCTCCTCCATCATCCCACTCAGCACATCATAGGTCTCCCTGCCCTCACCTTCTTCTCTTCTCACCCTGGCTCACGGGACTCCCACTACGCAGCTCCTTCCTGTCTTTTTTCTCACATGTTGAGTCCACTCTGGACTTCTGCATTACACTTGCTGTGTCTGGTGTGTGGGTACCTTGTCCCAGATAGCTGCATGACCCCATTGCTCAACAATTGCAGATCTTTGCTCAAATACCCCTTACCCTGAATTTTAAAATGGCAACCTGGCCAAAACCATACATACCCTACCTATGAACCTTATCCATGTCAATGAATCTGACTTACCTTTTGCCACATCACTTGTCAGATTCACTTTAAATAAGATACAGAGACATATGTACTGAAAGCTTACGCTTCAGGGCCTTCCAAGGTATCTAACTTTGCCTTCATAAATTTAAGTCTTAACAAGATACTCTTAAATTATATAAAATGCATATTTTATAAAACCTTAATCAACCCTTGAATGCAGTCTAACATTTATTATATTATCATATTATATCTATTATCTTTTTTTTATTTTTTATGCTCCTCTGTAATAGTGCAAGCTCCATTAGGACACAGATCTAATTCTATATAATTCACCGTCATGTTCCAAAACTATGGTGCAAACAAGTGAGAATTTCCAATGAAAAAAAGTATCAAGATGTTTGATGTTCTAAGATATTTACGCACTTTAAATACTGATCTACTCCAAGGGTAGCTCCATTTCTGACAAAGTTCAACGTAAAGGGTAAAAGACTCTCAACAGAGCAAGGGATCTGGCCCCGCTGCAGGTAGTATCCTGGGGTGTTCCTGGGCATTGTGACCTTGGGAGCATCTAGGAAAAAAGAACATGGGCAAAAAGGTCATGATGATATCGGTACTTCTTATTAATCCATTTAAAAGCTTCCTGCTTAAATTATTCCTGTAAATTTGCTGCATTTCAATTAATCTAAATCACTTACATCATTTAAATAATCTTTTTATGTTCAGAGTTCGTTAATTAGTGGATATTACTATAATCCCTTTACTAAATATCTACTGAATATTAATTAAGATTTTATTTCATTAATTTTCGGATACATCATTGTTTTTTTGTACCACCACAATAGAAAAAAATAGTAAAGTTGTAACACATCATCAATTGTAAAACACATTCTGATTTCCAAAATGTAAATATATGAAAGGAAACCACATATCTAGAATCAAGTGCTTAAATTGTTTTCTCGAGTGGGGAACTGATTTTTAAGAATCGAATAGATTTTTGTAGGATTAAACTTGAAAAGCCAAACCAATAAACTCTGTATATTGTACATGAGGAAACATCAAGGTTTGCTTTATTGTCCTCATTCTACAACTACTAAAAACAACAGCTATAGAGTAATTTTTGTATCCCCAAATCACAAGCCTATGTTAAAATGATAAACAATTGTCCCTTCAGCAAACTCCAAGAGATAAGAAACAATCCTTCTCTAACTTTGTCAATTCATCATTCAAACTGCAATCCTAGCAGGTGAGTCATCAATCTTGAGAACTAGCCCAAATATACACAAATTAAAATACTATCTGTGTCTCTAAATAATTCCTAACCAGTAATCTAATCTCTCCATAATATTGAATATATATTCTAAGTAACTGCTTAATATTTAAACAAATAATCAAAGGCAGAATCATTACCTGTTGCTTACAATAAACTATTATTCACAAAGTATAAGACTTCTGTCAATCATATATAAACATTGAGATAGTTTGGTCATATAATAAACACATATGCCAGAATTTCTTTGTGGACTATTGGCCCTATATATTCCTAGTCCATTTCTTAAGCTGATATAATCAAAATTTCATATCTATAATCAATGAGCTTTAACACAAAACTTTAAATGTACTAGTTTATGGTTATGAAATGTTGCCTTACTCAAAGTGTAAATGCTCATCAGTCTGATGTCTCGGTAACTTTATAGTTTATTCTTTTTATAGGACCCCATTACTCCCTTAAGCCATCAATATCCCAGTGTTGAATAAAATGATATCTCACCAGGGATAATACTAGAGAAGGAAACACTGGATACTCTCTGGAAGAGGTAATCATCTTTATCATAGCCTGTTACTTTGAGAAAGAAAGCTTCATTTGGAGGTGTGAAGTCAGAAATATTCCATACGCCATAAGGTTTTCTATCTGGGTAATATTTAACAGGAATAGTCTTAAGAGAACGGCCTGAGATACTCAGAAGTTCAAGACGATCTACTCTGGCTGGAACGGAAATTCCAGAAGTATTCAGCAGCACGTAGGTCGGTATTCCTACAAGAGAAAGACTGTCATCATGTACAGGTACATGAACTTGGAAGTTATAGATTAAATAAATAATTACATTACAATAACAGGTAACCGGCACCATAAAATGAGTACTATATGCTCTCTACAAATTGTGGCCTGCTGTAGAATCCTTTCATGTATAAGACTGTTCTGTCAAATCCAGAAAAATGTATAAAACCTAAGTAATGACCTATTTTAATTATGCTTATTGTAGAATAATTCAAATCCAAAAAAAATGTATAAAACCTAAGAAATTACTTATTTTACTCAGGCTTATTGTAGAAAAATTGGACAAGTGAATATTGTGCTGTGTTTGATGACATGAGTATTTTTAAAGATCTACTGTTTTTTATCTTAGAAACTACTGTAATAAAAAACTAAACAAACAATAAAAATGGAGCTGGTATGATTCAGTTTTCTTTTTAGCTAAGAATTATAAATCTTCATGCATGAATAAGAAGAACAAGTTTAAAAAATCAGCAATTGCATCTGTAAACATACGATGGTACACAGTGTCTTTAATCTTTTAGTTATATATACACATATACAATCCACATTTTCACCTTGACAACAAAGCAATTTGTACATGTTAATTAGAAAAAGCCTCATGATCTAGGTCAGAAGTTTTATAAAGTTTAGTAAGCTTGGGAATTAATTGGGGTACAATAGCCTTGGGCTCTTCCTTGTGTGATTCCAATTCAGGAGATCTGGAGTAATTTCCTTATCACTGGTCTTAGAAATAAACTTTGAGAAACCATAATCAGGTCTCAATCACATTTAAAGTACAAATATTATGTTTGTGAATTTTATTGAAAATTAGAAAATGATATAGTCACAATCTGAAAAATACTTTGCACTTAGATTTCCACTATGCCAAGTTAAGTAATATGCATACACACACCTTGCACTGGTCTGCTGACTGTTTTCTTGAAGTCCAGGGTGGGTTTTCGGGAAAAACCAGCTCGAAAATCAATAGTACTGAGGCCAGTGATGCGAACAGAGTGCCTTCCACTGCTGGAAGTCTGAAACATGTCAATGATGAAATCTGTCAGCAGCTGATCCGGATGCTTGTCACACTGAACACTCAGCAGGAGACAAAACTTCAGCATTTAATTAGCAATGACATCCAGTCACACAGACTCAGAACCAGGTGTTATGAATTGGACTGCTTCTACATCTTAAATGCAAGTTTTATAATATAGACCCCAGGGGAATGTTCTAAAATATAATTCAGTAACACATTTCACACCCAGTGGTAAAAGATATTGGTGATGATTCTCTAGTGAATGTACTTGAAAATCTGTAAAAACTCTATGAGTTCATGGATCTTTGTTTTGCTTTTTAAATTGGAGTAACACTACATGATGACAGCATATAAGATTCAGATGTGTATCATTATAAATTAACAAATCCTAGAAATGCCTATGGAATTGAGACCACCAGAGAGGGAGGTAAGAGGTGAGCAAAGTTTGAGGGGACTCGATGATCTATGGTTGAGGATTATGGGTACCGTGGTGGGGATTGTCATGAGGTAACAAACCCCTGAAGAATTGTGAGCCTATACCATTACTCTCTACATAAGAGGGAGAGTTGAAACTCTTGAGAGGAGAGAAGCAGACACATAATGGGGAGGGGAAAGAAGGATGGAGGCAAGGTATAAAAAGAAAAATACAAGATGTTTTCCCAAATATACAGGTAAAGCTACGAAGTTCATGGCACATATTATTAGTGAATTTCCTATGCAATTTGTGAAGGTGCTAGCTTTTTCCTTTGCCAAAGTACAAAAGATTAAAATCTGCACAATCAGGAGGTAAAGAGACCATAAGACAGTAAACTTACAGAAATCTCAGTAATGTTGGGAGAAAACACTGGATTCTCATATTATGGACCTGATCAGGCTGGAGAAAAACTAAATGACTCAAAAGTCCTGGTGAGACAAGTAAAAGTTAAACTAATTCTGTACTGAGCAATGCAGGGGAAGTTCAGTCATGATGTTTATCCCTCCTCTCTATTCCTCCAAATAATTTTAGAAATCATAGGATATTTTTTATGCATCAGAAAAATTATTAAGTCTGAGATTATTACTTTAATGTTTCTTTTTTAGTTTGGTCTTTTTTTATCTACAAATTCAACCTGTCAATTGTAGTAAAATTAAATTTTGGTTCCTAAAAGCAGTTCCAAAAAGTATCTCTCCTTTTTTTTTAAAGACTTATTTATTTGTTCATACAGAACTGGGGTACAGGTCAGAGGCTCAGGGGCGGCGAGAGGCTTCACCAGCGACCGAGTGAGGAGCAGAATAGGCATATCGACAAAGTATACTGCTGAGGGGAGCAGCGGGCGGGTCAGGAGAGGTCTGCCACGCCATGTGGTCACCTCTGAGGCGGGGGGAATCGAACTCATGTGGAAGTGGCTTTAGCTTCTCAGTGCTGTGCTTTAACCCACTGCGCCACCAGGGAGGGCCAAGTATATCTCTTTTAAGGCAAAATATTTTAAGGCATATCAGCCTTGCAGAAGCTTCCTAACCTCATGACTTCTGTTGTTAGGAACAGGAGCAGGGAACAACATAATGGCTTCAATCATAACAGGAAATTTTCTAGACGTTGGACAGGGTTGTATGGGCTAGAAATTCTGAGAGTTGTATTTCAAAATCTATTTACTTATACAATTTTTTAAAAAGATTTATTTATTTGCACATACAGAACTGGGGTACAGGCCAGAGGCTCAGGGGCGGTGAGAGGTCTCACCAGAGACAGAATGGGGAGCAGAACAGGCAGATCGACGAAGTACACTGCTGAGGGGAGCAGCGGGCAGGTTAGGAGAGATCTGCTACGCCATGTGGTCACCTCTGGGGCAGACAGGTATTGAACTCATGCGGAAGTGGCCTCAGCTTCTCAGTGCTGTGCTTTAACCTGTTGCGCCACAAGGGACGGCCTACAATTTTTTAAAGTTCACATTGAGATACAAAACTACTCAGAGCTAGAATTTCATGTTGGTCAAGTAGTGGAAGGGCATGATTGAGTAAGATACAGGCTGCTGCTCAATGAACAGAACAGAGGCAAAGATGAAATCATATCACATACCTACTGACATCCTGAAACTATAAATAGGTATTCTTGATTCACAATACCATAAGAGAAAAGGAGGAATAGAGTGGATCAGAGTTTCTAGGTTTCTGAATTTCTACATGTATTGAGGAAAAGGGACAGGCAGAAGCACCCTGAAGCAAGCACCATGGAGAGCTCCAAGGAAACTTATTTGCTCCTGATAATTTTCTGATTAACACTATTGCAGATGGATCCACTCAGTTCAAGAATGAACGTCAGTACATATTTCTATCTATCAAAAGCCCCATAAAGCAATAACTATGTTATATCCATCACCTACAAAATATCACACAATATGTACTTAATACTTGTAGGTTTAATAAATTGATTCAAAATTCTAATGTTTGTGCTTTTTCTTAGATTCCCTTAGGATTAGTTAAAGCCAGATTCATCAACAATTCATTGAATTTTTCTAGAAGGATTGTGCTAAACCTGTTCACTTATTATCTCACAAAATTCTATTACATCTAAAGATAATTTTATAGCACCATGAAGATACTGAGGTTCAAAGAAATGATAACTTGCCCAGGGTAAACAGGGAGTTAAAGAGCAATTTTCCCAAGTTCAATACTCTTTACATAGTACCTAATCTTATCTTTGCATAGAATTTTAAAATAACTAAATCTCTGGGTTCATTTGGACCCATGACACAGTAGACAATAATATTCTCCAGCTCATCATTTTCCATTCTCAATATGCTTTCACTGAGGAGGAGTCAAGCTGGTGGAGTGTTGGTAAACCTCTTTCTGAAAGAAAAAATAGGCTCTATTGTTGGTATTTGCCAATTCTCCTGGTTTAAGTACTAACATGATGACTAATGTCAAGCTCCCAATATGAAGTCAATGAACACAGAATTGGGAAGAGAAAGTGAATATATGACATTCCACAAGCCTTTTAGAGCTAACTCTAGCACACCATTAAAGTAATGAATATTTTTGGCCAAGAAGTTCCAAAAGTGTAAAGTGTGTCTACTACTCATGGAAATGTCTGTTTTACCTCAGAAGTGACACAAATTCCTTCATTTTTATTCAGTGTGCACTCCCCAATGTTCTCCCCCACTGAAGTACCTGAAGAGGCCATGCCTTCTAAAGTTTGGTGGCATCTCCATCAGTTTAGTGCCTGAGCGCCTATGTAAAAAACATTCTGTCACCCTACTGGACCTGTAGCATTGGTGCAGAATGGAAAGTTAGAATAACACCTAATACTAAATGTGAAGTCTGACCTGTTATAAATTGAATTAAAATGTGATTTATAGAGCTAACTTTCCTTGACTAAATGTTTTATAAAATAATAAATAAACCCAAAATAAAAGAAGAAACTGTGTTTCTGCATTAATAGAGTTTAATTATTGAGTTTAACTATTGACAAATTTTCAACAGAATAATGCATTTAATTAGTTTTATCATTCACACATCAAAAACTGTTTAAGCACTTTACCAGCACTTAATTAAATCATGACAATGTTAGGTAGGTATTATTTTTCCTCATATTTTGCAGACCTGAGGATGTTTGGTAATTTCCTCGAGGCCAGAAAGATATCAGGTAGTGAATAATGAATTAAAATTGACTCCCAGTTCTTTTCCAAGTATTTGCTCTTAAATAACACACCATTCTTTACAAATTAAACAACATGATAGTTTCAATCAAATACTTATTTGGAATACACTGTGGCCTAAGCATTGTGCCAGACACATAGATATAAAAATACTTATCTTTTTATTAGGTGTTACATGTTTAGAGAAATATAAGGAAAAATGAACTCAAAATATAGAATGAATTAGTTCAAATGTACTTTCAAACATACACACATTTATATATAAAAAAGAGTGCATACTTTTTTTTTTTTAAAGGAAACATTCCATTTGGCTGACAATCTGATATTGGCAGACCAAAGTAACTGGGAAATTCTCCAAGAAAATTTACTATAAAGCATTCCATTGAACCAAAACTTGAATTAATACTCTGCTTAATCCATTTAAAAAACACACCTGCCATAGTCTACAGGTTTATTCAATGGAGTCACCAGCTCAATAATCTTCTTGTGTGGTCCTTTGTAGATAACATTTTTGCTTAATTATGACACTCCATGATGCAAGTAGCTTTTTCTACTTCAGTATGATCTCTAAAATATCCTTATCCTGTAGAAAATGCATTAGTAGGTTCTGGCAACTAGCATACTGCCTAAATGCAAAATATACCTACATCTTATAATCTCAATATGCTCTTGTAGCTGGGTACACTACTTTCTCTCTTTGGGAATTTATAAAAGAACAGTTTATCCACATTTATTTAATGGAAACGTACCTCAAGGGATGTATTAAATTCCAAGATCACACTGATAATCCTAGACTAATAGAAAAAGTTTATACCGCCTAAACCCAATGGGTGCTTACAATTACTTAATGTCTTTGCAAGGAGTGTCCTTTAAAGAGCAAAGGACAAAACATAGTCTGGGAGTTTCTGTGGTTATGTTTAAATACTCCTAGAAGTATACAGACATCAGGTGGGAAATTTATATTGACTCATAAATCACATCCAAAACTTGTAACTTCCCTATACCTGGAAATTTAGGGGCATAAAATAAAGTCCACTTTTGTTTTCAATAAAATATTACATTATTTTCACTTACTTCCTTTTTAAAAAAATAGAATATTTTGGTGGCAATATTGGGTTTACAATACTGGGTATGTGGTTTAGAGTTATATTCACATCACTTCAGATGCTTGCCTGAGAGGTAATCTAAAATGCTTGAGTCATTTATGTGAACTGCACACATGAACTGACTCATTTTCTATGTTTTGTGGAAGTGCTAACAGAGAGTAATGATAGAGGAGAAGAAATCACCACGCTTATAGTTAATGACATTTTACACAATGCACAGACTAAAGTGTTCTGTCCATCAACCGTAGGCCAACCAAACCAATTCCTCAGACTGATCCCTGGGAGTCATTAGAATAAAGGTATTTGTTTTCATTTGTGGGTATTTATATGGTTCTTTCCCAGGCATTGTGGCACATACTAGTGAGAAAATATATAGTAAAACAGGAAAAGAAAACCTACACAAATGTAAATATGACTAAAGAAATCAAAAGAAACATGCAGAAGAAATGTCATAGGAAGTCAAGAGGGAAAAAATAGTGTTTTAGGTGGAAAAGTCTTGAGGGATGGAACTTTAGGGTATATTCATGAGTCTGATATATAAAGGAAGAAATTACAAGGAATAAGGAATAGCTTGAGAGAGAGATGGGACTAGGTGATGGGAAGTGAGGGCTTAAGAAAGTATAATGTTATATCTGACCAGAGAGTAAAGACTACTGTTGGGAAATAATCAGGACGACTGGTTGAGGCTCACTAGGCTGGTCATTTAATACCATGCTAAGGTTAAATAATAAACTTCTCTCCATACTTTTGATAAAAACTGTTATGTGAAACATTCAAAAGCCATTATTAATTCTGCTGATACGCTAGACATTTTTCAGATAGCAAAGTGTGCAGAAGATAGTACCAGGGATATGCTGTCTAATCTCAGACATTTCTCTTCTTGAGAAAGCACACATGTAAAATACCACATTTCATTAGTCATCCAAAAAGGAGATCCAAAGTCAGAAAGACTATTTATGTCAGTACTTCAGTTCATTTTTTTGCATCAATCTGATACATAGTTTTATTATTTATATACAAGAAACATAAGCTTCTTTTTTAAATTGCTTTGCAATGTTTAATCTTTTGTTTAATTACCACTAATTGTACTCTAGAAATGGTGTAACATCAGAACCAGAGGCTTCTGGGGTGAGGACTAGATATAAATTAAGATGATATAATAATAGGTACTGTGTATCCTTATTGTTTTATTAATTACAAGAGACTGAGCTTAGAGACTTGTCAACACAGTTCCTACCACTTCATCATTTTATGATCTCCCTCCTCACTAACTAATCCTCAGTGCTTCTCTGTTCTAATTATCAATTAAAATGGGATTAGTGCCCATGAAATATCAGGGAACATGGCCAAGAGCAGACACTACATAAATGTTTATTGAATAGATGACTGAAGAGATGTGTTAGGCCACAAGGTAAAACAACAGACCTGCAATAACCCTCTTCTAGGCAAGAGTTTACTGGAGGAAATGCCCTGGGAATAATCCAAATCACCTGTAAAATGGACTCAACTACTTCATAACAAATATTAAATCACAGAATGGCATTGAAAATAATCTCGTATTGTTTTTATTTTCCCTATGAGGGATTAGAATTCTGAGAATAAAGCACTGATTTTCAAAGATTAGAATGGAGTTAACAATGGAAATTTTCACTCTAAATTGGGAAACGTAGCACAGGTATTTTTTTTTTAATAATGTAATAGTTTATTTTTACATCATTTTGTGCCTTTTTCCATCTCAGTTGTAATCCCTGTGGGCTTCCCATCACCCAATCACCCAACACAGGTATTTTTTTAAAAAACAAAACCTGGCATGGACAAATGCAGCCTTGAACGTCTATGGCATAACACCCTGTTCACTTTCACTAAAGCGCTGTAATTTGAGTATGAGGCAATTGATCCTATGTTTATTGAAACAAGGAAGAGTAAAAATGCATTGAGTATCTTCGTTTGAGGATTCTAGTTTTGTTTATCTGAGAGGTGCAGGGATGTTAACAGGAAAGGGAACATTGCCAGTGGAAGGTGCTGGTAAGCCTGCTTCCACTGTGGACAACTAGAGCTTATTCCTACAAGGGAGGACGACTTCTGCTGAGAGGTGCAATTTTCCTGAAAAACAGCCTTCTTCTGTTCTGGGAAAAAAAAAAAAACCTCAGACACAGACATGCAGATACAGGAGTGGGAAACAGGCCAGAATACACTGAAAAATCTGAAAAATGTGGGCATGTCACTCAGCATCACTACATATATTTTACAGTAGAACTAATGCCCAGTTGTATGGTAACCTTAATTTTAAAAATATGTTCTTTCTTCCATATTTTCAAAATATTATGCCTTTTTTAAAGTGTTTTTTCTTTTTTTTTCTTTTTTATTTTTTTAAGGTTTATTTATTTGTGCATACAGAACTGGGGTACAGGCCAGAGGCTCAGGGGCGGTGAGAGGCCTCACCAGAGACAGAGTGAGGAGCAGAACAGGCAGATCGACGAAGTACACTGCTGAGGGGAGCAGCGGGCGGGTCAGGAGAGGTCTGCCACGCCATGTGGTCTCCTCCGGGGCAGGCGGGAATCGAACTCATGCGGAAGCGGCTTTAGATTCTCAGTGCTGTGCTTTAACCCGCTGCGCCACCAGGGAGGGCCAATGTGTTTTTTTCTTTTTAAGATTTATTTATTTATGCATACAGCAATGGGGTACAAGCCAGAGGTGCAGGGGTGGTGAGAGGATTCACCAGAGACAGAGTGGGGAACAGAACAGGCAGATCGATAAAGTACACTGCTGAGGGGAGCAGCAGGTGGGTCAGGAGAGGTCTGCCACGCCATGTGGGTCACCTCCCGGGCCAGGGATGGAACTCACACTGAAGTAGCTGTTGCCAGCTTGCAGTGCTGCATCCTAACCCGTTGCACCACCAGGGAGGGCCCAAACTATGCCTTCTTAAAGTGAATACATACGACTGTGTGTAATTCTAGGATACAAATACCATTTGATGTTAAAGAAAACAATGACTGCAGTCACCAAGCGACAATAGCCAACAGTACTTGAACGAATGCTTACTTTATAACAGGACCTATGTAATGAGTTGCACTTGTGTCATCCTTATGTAATTCTCAGCCCAGTTGTATGAGGTAGGACTGCTACTGCCCTCCCTGTATTACAGAGGAGTAAAGCAAGGCCCAGAGAAGCTATGGATCCAAGACACCATCACTTTTTGGTACTGACACTGATATTCAACTCAGTTCTTCCACAACAAACCCCTAACCATTATTTTCTACTGACTCGATCTCTGATGTTTTGAAGGCAGAAGGTGAGTAATCCAATCAATGCAGAGATTAGACAATATGAAAATGATTGGAGAATTGTAAGTGTATCATGAAGTGTCAGTGATTTTCATGCTCATAAAAATATGCTGCTCCTACATTCATGTGATCAAAACACCACCTATGAATGTACTATGTATATTGGCATTGGTAAAAACACTCTCCAGTTGTGGAATATACAGAAATATAACATAGCCTATCAAAACCAAACCAATAATAAACTGTCATATCTGGCTACAAAACTGAGGCAATCGCAGGGGGAGGTTGGTAGAGTGGGAGTAGGGCTGGGAGGGACGCCGTGAAGCATGGTGGAGGAATGTTGGGGCACAGCAGGTGCGAGGGTGTGAAAGCACTCTGTAGAGGTTTGAACCTACAGACCCGGAGCAGGCTTAAAGATATAAAACCTACTTGATTTCAATAAATATCATCTGGAAGGAAAAAAAGCACTTTCCATGTTAGCCAGGGGAGATAAATAAATTATTGTGTACACTTTATAAAACATGCCAGTGTAAAAATAATAAACAGACTTTGTAAAATAACAGTACCTTCACTGTCCACATTCCAGCCTCCGGCTCTTTAACATTCACCACCTTGGCAGAGTTATGGATGTTTAATAGCTCATTCAGGCCAAATCCCTTTTTTATCAGCTTCCCTGAAAGACAGACATAAAGGAAACATGCATAATCTATCTTTAAGCTATGTGTATTAGCTGTGTACATTTCCAGTATAAATTTTGCCTGATGAACATTTGTTCCTGTATCTCAAGACATTTTATTTATCTCTAATGCATACTTCACTTTAGAGTTTCTGGCATTGGAACTGTAGTAACAGATCCCCATTTATTATGCTGATTGAATCTTAAGATGAGAATAAACTTGGCAGACTATAGTCATATTTCCAAAACCAACCTAGGTTAGGGCTACCGAGAAGTTACATGTAGTCACTAGAGACATTTCAGTTGAATAGATGGCAAAAACTGTACCTCAGAATAAATAATAAAGGTCATCTGCGAGATCTCTCAAGGTATCTCTAGCATGAGAGCCTTGAGCACATCTTTGCACAGTGCAAACCTTAACTGATTCTCCATGAAGCACACAAGGTTCTAATTGACTAACGAATAATTAAAGGAGGCAGCCTACGGTAATAGCATGATATCAACTCCTACTGATCTGAGATTTCTCCAAAGTATTCAAGAGTTGGAACTTGAGACAAAAAAAAGCAAACACAGAGTTAAGCCATACAGTTATTCTCTGTCTTATTAACTCTTCTGTCCTATTGACTACTTCTGTAATTATCTATGCAAATCAACTATAAGAATATAATGCTTATATCAAGGGCTTTATATTCACTGTAATGACACTTTAAACATAAATATTAATGTCAATAATATAATGCAGTGGGCACAGGTACTTTTCAGTGTTCAATTTGTGAAAAATACAAAGTTCCTGAAGAGGGATGTTAGTAGAATGTTACCTCAACAGGTAAATCCACGTACAAATTTGTAGATGTCTTAAAATATAGGCTTTCTTTGTTTTATAGATTTTAATCCAATTGCTACTACATTTGTAGTATTTGAGGACAAATTCATATTCTGTTTCTTTTAAGTCTTTTTATCTAAGACAGAAATTAAATTAAAATGAATAACCCTCTCCAGTCACAGATATTCATACATAAATAGGAAAAAAAAAAAAGCAACACACTAAAACCACAATGAAAAAACTTATTTCACAAACATCAATAGGCAAAATAATTTAAAAATGAAGAATTAGGGAAATGAGGTTTCTGTTTCATAATGTAATGCCTTTACTGTAAACTTTATTGTAATATTCAACCAGCAATGGAATGAGGTCAAACTTTATACTAATCACAGGTAATTAGGGAAGCTGAGTAAATTGAAAAAATATTCTAATATGTGTATAGTTTGCTATACACAAAACTGCAAAATTAAACCTTGTCAAGGTAATGATAAAATAATAAAAACAGTTATCTTAGAGGAGTTCTTTCATTTTGAAATAATATAAAATTCTGAATTTTAAATAAGTTACTTTGAAATATTTTCTCATTTGTAGAAAAAATAATTTCATATTCATTTTAAATGTATTTTCTTTTGGATATTTTACTACAATTAAGATATTAACTTTGATTTGCTTAAATTACAGGAATTTTACCTTTTGGAATTTCATGTTTATTTAACAATACTTATGATCAAGAATGAATTTATTTATGAAATTAGCATTAATTTGACACAAGTCAGCATGCAAAAAAACTCTCCAGTATATTTATTTTATTTCATTATATGACATTTCCCATATCTCACCTAAAGGATTACGAATTTCAATCATTGGAGAAGGGCCACTCAGAGACACAGTCACTTCTTTTAGGCTGGGATCAAAAGGAATTTTCCAGGTGTTGACAGCCTGTTCCAAATGGTCTGTGGATAAAAGGTGGACTTTGGAGGCCTGCACTGCTTCTTCTACCCATTTTAACACCTAGAAAAGAAAAAGAGTATAAGTAACCCCAGACAGCACTTACAGTCCTAGTTCCAATACCTCTACGACTTCTAGTTGATCTTGGTAATCACATGAGCTAGGCATTTTCTGAAATGATGTGAGGTTTATTTCCTTCACAGCAAAGACAAACCTTTGCTTACAGTTATTATAGTTGATTCAAAACAAAATGCTGATTCAACCCATCCTCAAATTTCAAGTTTTCTATTTTATGATAATATATTCAGAATGAAATAAGTGTCAAAAAAAACAGAAACATGAAACATGTAGAGATCTTACAATTTTATATTTCTCAAAGAGCCTACAAAAATATGTACTATCAATATTTTGCCATCCCTTTACCTTCCCTTATTTCTTTCTAGTTTTCTTCCAAGATGCAATTTACCAAAGGTATTTATTTAGCAAATTACCAACTCTAATTTCAACATATTTGGTATATTAATTATTATATTATATTGGATTCACATGTATTATAATATGTATATTGTTGAAAAATAACTACAATGCCAGCAAAATGTTCATTTTTAATGATAAGTCCAATAAGGATAAAAAATAATGGAAAATAAATGATTGTATGTTTAAAATATAGAGAAATATTTCAGGTTTGAATAAACTTACTATGTTCTTGAAAACTTGTTTTTGATAAAGTACTAGGAAATTGGGTTATAAAAGCATGTTGATGCATCACTATAAGAAAGTAAAACTTCCAATTCACAGGAACATATTGCAACAGCAAATACAATTCTTCACTAGACAAAGAGTGCATGTCTGGACAGGCATTGCGTATAAGTTACAATTAATTCTGAATCATTTTATCTTAATCCTCCTAAGATCTTTCTCTGGTTCACATATCCGTTTGTGAACAATTTTGCTTGTAGTTATTCGTAAAACACTGAACACTGAACAGAGCTACATATTAAGCTGTAGCCAAGTTATTCAAATTAAAACATTTTCTTCAATTTCAACAGTGATTGTTATAAATCAATTAATTAAACAATAAACATTATGTAATAATTTCATTCTCTATAAAAAGCATTCCTGTTTTTGTCCTCAAGGATGAGGCAAGTGGCTAAGACATATTATCCGGTAATTAACAATGTGAGGTAATTATGTTCATTCATAAAACAAATGTTTATTGTTTAAGGTACTCTCCAAGTACTGCCAATGTATTGAAGAGCATATTTTAGTCAATATTTTACAGCTACTCCTCTTCTCTGCAGAAGTGTATACTAAATATTTTTCACTTATTATATGTCATTTAGTTTTAAAAATCTTCTTGCCTTTCTTCCAGGGTCATCATTCAGATCTCCTTTATCTTTGTGAACCCAAATCCAAGTGACATGCCTTACACATGTCAAAGGTCAGTGAAGCTGGTCTTAAAAAATGTTCTGAAAACTCAAGATACAAGGATCCCTTGTTAAAATAGTAATCATAAAGAGCCTCCACTGTACCTATCACATAATAGATGCTCAATGGCTTCCCCCTAAGTTCCCTTCTTGACCCTTAATTGACTATTACAACTATTGTGTCATATGTGATGATAAAAACTATCCATGAAAGTTAGGTAAGATTTCTACAGATGGGTCCCTCCCTGGTGGTTCAGCGGGTTAAAGCACTGCATTGAGAAGCTAAATCCACCTCCGCAGGAGTTCGATCCCCGCCTGCCCTGGAGGTGACCACATGGTGTGGCAGACCTCTCCTGACCCACCCGCTACTCCCCTCAGCAGTGTGCTTGTCGATCTGCCTGTTCTGCTCCCCAGTCTGTTCCTGGTGAATCCTCTCACCCCCCCCCCCATCTCTGGCCTGTACCCCAGTTCTGTATGAATAAATAAATAAATCTTTAAAAAAAAAAAAGATTTCTGCAGATGAAAAGGTGAGGTGAAGTCATACCAGGTAGAAGAGAAGACCTGAGAAAATGCAGGGAGACAGGAGTCCTGCAGATTTGTTGGGAACACAAACAAGTCCAATAGCTACAGCAAGGTGGTCACACAAAAAAACAGACACAAAAGATGAAGCTGGAAGCTTGTATAAGACCAGGCTATGAAAACTGCAATGTGTTGTAAAGCTGTCCCTGAAAAGTTACTGAAAGACATTCAGTAAAAGAGTAATGCATTGAATGTGATAGTTTGTGAAGAAAATCCTACAGCAGTTCATGGATAAACTGGACAGAAAACCAAATATATTATGCTTATTTAATTCATAAATAAAATGACAGATTTTCTCAAATTTTCATGTTTTAAAACACCTGGAATTTTACATATGAAATAAAGCATGTATCACTAAATTTGTCTGAAAAAGATGGCATTTTAATGAGATACCATCTCACACTAGTGAGAATGGCACAGATTAAAACAACTAGCAACAACAGATGGTAGCAAGGATGTGGGGGAAAAGGGAACTCTCTTGCACTGCTGGTGGGAATGCAAACTGATATAACCACTATGGAAAGCTGTTTGGAGGTTTCTCAAACTGCTAAAAACAGAGCTTCCATATGACCCAGCAATCCCATTCCTAGGTATCTACCCAAAGGACAAAAAAACACTGATTCAAAAGGACACCTGCACCCCCCTGTTTACTGCTGTTCTGTTTACAATAGGGAAAATGTGGAATCAAACCGAATTCCCAAAATTAGATGACTGGATTAAGAAGATGTTGTACATATACACAATGGAATATTATTCAGCAATCAAAATAAAATAAACTCATGCCTTTTGCAGCAACATGGATGGAACTAGAAGGGATCATGCATCGTGAAATAAGCCAGAAAAAAAAGGAAAAATACCGGATGGTTTCGGTAATAGTAATAGCGTAAGGGATCTGGGAAAGAAAAAAAGAGAGAGACGCACAAATGTAATAGAGTAAAAATGAAAACAATGAACAACTATAAACAAGAGACATTTTATGGGGGTGGGAGTGGGAATGGGATCGGAACTGGGGGGGGAAGAGTGCTCTGGACTGTGATGGTGGCACACGGGTGAATTGGTGGTAGGAAGCCCATGGGGATTACAAGAGATGGAAAAATGCATAAAATGAAGAATGACGTAAAAAAAAAAAAGAAATATATAACAAAAAAAAATTTTAAGATGCCATTTAAAAAAATTATTTGAGTTCTCTCTTGTGCGGGAACAAAACACAAATCAAATCTGTCCATTGGCTATATAATTCAGACTGATTATAACTAATATTATAACCGCTGGTGGTGCAGCAGTTTAAAGCACTGCATTGAAAAGCTAAAGCCACCTCCGCAAGAGTTCGATCCCTGCCTGCCCCGGAGGAGATCCACATGGCATGGCAGACCTCTCCTGACCCACCCACTGTTCTCCTCAGCAGTGTACTTCGTCGATTTGCCTGTTCTGCTCCCCAGTCTGTTCCTGGTGAATCCTCTCACCCTCTGCATCTCTGGCCTGTACCCCAGTTCTGTATGAATAAATAAATAAATCTTTAAAAAAAAAAAAAAGAACACATTTTACCAATCAGAAAGTTGACATTTTCTCTCCTTTGCACTTAACATGGTTGTCTAACTCAAGAAGATGGAAAGACTTACTACTTGGAAATCAATTAAATAAACTTGACATGCTGAATAACTTTGAAGATAATGTCTCACATAGAGACAAAGTGGGCAAAGAAGAAAATAAAGTAAATAAATGAAAATAAAATTTGCATTAAAGGTAAGATACAAAGTGTGGTCACAAGTTATTCTCAATTGAAAAGGAAGAAAATAATTTAAAAACAAGAAATACATCTCAAGTTAAACAATGAACTACAACAGTGTTAAGGAGAAATATAAATGACATCAATATTTTTATGCAGCCTTCTTTAAAACTTTAAATATAATATAATCTATACTATATACTATAAAGTATATTCAACTACACTGTAAACATACAGTGTAGTATAAATTTAAATGTATATACTGTAAATATATTCTTTAAATATAGTAGGCTCCTCAAACATATCTTTCCTTCAAGCCAATACCACTGGAAATCATCCTGCTTTCTATTATCAACACATGGAAACCCCTAAAACAGAAAATCATATAAAATATTAAAATCAAGGATGCTCTAACTCAGTTGCATTTTCAAAAGGCAAGTGTTCAAATCCTACAGAATATAAGCAGGCTTTGGTTTATGCTTAATACCACTTCCCATTCATCAACATTTGTGAGGCTTTCACAAAGGGATTACCAAGGATCATAATATTACTTTTGGGGAAAGACAAAGTACGAACATCCTGTCAAGAGTCTCAAATCACATTTTTCATCCACTTATAAGAAAAACTAAAATTGAAAACAGATGCAACTCATTTTATTAGAAAAATATAGTTATTACCAAGGTATGAACAAAAGAAGATTACTTATTGATAAGCAAGCTACAGAACCCACCACAAGTGGGGTTTCTGGCGTCTCAAGTTGCCCTTTGTAAGGAATAACATCTCTAACTTTCTAACTATGACAAATGTTCTCATGAGATTGGAAATGAGCTCCTATTAAAATGACATGAAATAGAACTAGAAAAATGTAAGTGTTTGGATTGGTGCATTTATACTGACAATAAAAACCTTTTCAAACCCCCAGGGAATAGTTAAATGTACATTAAATGTTTTAATGTAAAATTTTTCTCTGATGATTTGTAGCAGTTTATATTCCAAAAGGCCATTGGGACCATCTAATCCAGTTCTTTATTTTGTAAATGAGGAAACTGATATTTGAAAGAATTCTTGTACCTTTTAAATACATAAGCAGATTGATTCTGGCTCAATTATTATTTTGTATATATAAGCCTGTGTTCTGGAAGACACAGTTCAAGTTGAAAGATTTTGTATTCTCTATAATAATACTCAACAGTGATTTCCTATGGATATTCTATTATGAATGAGATGTAAATTTGTCTCTAAATACAAAGTCAGCATACATTACTAGATATTGTGCAATACAAAATTACTAATTAGAAATTAAAGTGAAGGCAAATTTCACATAAACCTTC